CGTTGCCGTCGATGTATTGAGTCAGCAAGCCCATTCAAACTTCTCTACCAGTCCTATTACATGCAGGTCCTAAGAGTCCAAATGGGGTAGGGAGTGTTTGGTGTGATGACAATTAAATAACAATTCAACCCTTTTCAGATTCATGACATCTTGTAAGATTCACAAATATAACCTTGTAGTTAGCACGCAATTTACTGGACTCCAGCGGCACTGGCACAATGAAGAAAATGGATAATGAAAATGAGTGGATAAAGAAAACTCACTGCAACTCCATGATTGGAAAGAAGCTTCTTAAGTGCGATTAAACTTTCCATGTATTCCGAATCTGCTGTGCAGAAATGGAATTCTTCAATAATAACGAATTTGATCCATTTCAACGGCACCTATGAAGAAAACATTAAAGCCTTCCTAGCGATGGAAATCACAGCAAGCTACTAAGTAAGTATGAAATTTGAAAAAAAAACTAACATGGTATTTAAAAATCGCATTGACCATATTTGGTGCGGAAGCACATAGAAGGTCAACGACAGTACTCGAGTTGAACGATGAGTTGTCCAAGTCATCTTTAGTAACGAAATATTTTACCAGCGAAGTACCTTGAAAGATTCGTTCAACTAAATGGTCATTCGAATGGTCACCCAAATGAACACAATATGGAGATGAAAGTCCCAAATACATTAGTTCTGCTCGGTTTACTTGGGCTCGACATTTCAGCTAAGCGTGAAAAAGACGATTATTATTCAGTGGTCAGTGGCTGCCGTTGTGTTCGCTGTTAGGCTGGCGTTAAAGTCACGATCCGTCGCAGAATTTGCGCGGTCCGGGTCCAGAAATCACAAGTGCCCGATCAATACTGCAAGGTGCTCTCCAATCCTGCCGCCATTTCTGCTTGATGGTGATGGCTGAATGACGACTGTTCATGATTCTACTTGTTTCATATTCAGTGTTTCAAATGTTCAAATGGGGCACTTGCGATTGCGCGATTCGCGCGAAAACTGCGAAAGATCGCGGACTCTGACACCAGCCTTAAAGGTGACCGTGCATAATGAGAAACTGGATAAATTTTAGCCAATGTTTCCGAGGTATGTTTAGTCTGTACTTCTTTTACCCTCCTCTCGTGTGCCAATGTTCAACATTAGAATCATGCAGCATGCTTAAAATTGGCTTGGACATATTAGCACTAGCACAAGAGCGCCATTTTTCGCTTTCGGTGGGGAAGGGGCCGTTTTGCCGCAGCCTCACCCACATCGCTGGATTTTGTGGGGTAAATGAGCAAAAATATAAGGTGACGATATGTGAAATGAAAATAGCAAAAAATCACGCAGAAATGCCATACACTCAATCCAACTGAATTGCCAACTGCCGGAAGCGGAACATTTAAATTACAGGTACAGCCAAAAAAAAGAGCTCGAGCCATCGGGAGCAGAAGAAACTTTTAAAAAATAACGCAATCAAATGTGAAGATCGGAAGCTAGAAAAAATAAGAAAGCAAAGATCGGCACATCTGCACTATCCTAACCACCCGGTTGAAAAGAGTCAAAAAAAAATGTTCGCCGGAACTCCTCCCTGACCTAGGGATCGGAGGTCCTGAATCAACAACATATGAACGACTCATTTTACGCGCGGCCACCCCCAATCAACGCCATACGCCACCAGATGGCCTCAAGCGCGACCCGTAATCCAAAACCTGTGGGGAACTTGTAGATGAGTGGGAGCTGGAACCCGCCAATTAGAATAAGCCAGTTTTGTCGTACCGGCTCGGCAGCTCAGTCTCCGCTTGTCGCGAGCCTCCCCTACATGACTCAAGCAAGGAATCACGCTTTGGAGAGTGGAAGGCAGCAACGTGAGTAAGCCACTCTCCCTATAATCACACAATTCAACTTTTGCGGCACGGTGCTTGGTTGACCCAGAACGGCGCAATCACCATTTACTTAGGCTTATTCGTAGGCGCATCAAGTGAGAAAGGTCATGAAAGCAGTCGTATAACTTAAAACACTGCGCGGCTAGACAATAAAAAATGTTATAACGTAATCCAAACCCTTCCCTACAACTTTAACGGGGGCCAATATGGTGAATCGCTAGTGCACCTGGAACCAACAAGATCAAAATATTCCATAACGTTAAACCGCCGTCACCCATCTCAACCGTTCGGTGTAGAATTTGTCTCGTTCGGTCAAGGATAGAGGCCGCGCGCCTGAGGGAGGGCACCGTATCACACTCCGTGGACAAACGATCGAACTATTGTGGTGCCGCGAGTCGACGCGGCCTTATCAGACCTCTTCGCCCCAAGGAAGTTCAACCCTCGCCTCCATAGGAGAGGTTTGAGCGAAAAAATTTGACCCATTTCACCCCTACTGGGTTTAAGTAGTGCAATAGTGCCCAAAGATCATTACCTCGAGAATATCTGCTGCAAAGCTCTCTTATATGCTTGATCTTGTTTTCTGTGTGCGTTACAACCAAAGCGGCTGGACCCTTCCGTCCACGCAACTGAAAGCCAGGAGAAATCAAGCCGCCATACTTTTTAAAGCCAATTCATAGAGGGAAAAAAGCATGAAGACAGTAAATACCTGGTTCTTGATGCAGACAACTAACCTCAATCTCCTTCAGCTCCACCAGCTTGTTCACTAAAGGAAGCAAATACCCAGTTGTTTTGCCTGAGCCGGACGGTCCCATGGCCAGAAATGTGAACTCTGAAACCTGACTACAGTAATCCCGCTGGGCAAGCCGAATGCGAAAGCTCAAAGAACCCGAAAAATAATGACGGAAAGTCAACACAAACCATTGAGGACTAAAGGAATCATGTACTGTTGTATCCGCCGTAGTGTGTGAATGTAGTGTCTCAAATCCGATGTCAAGTTTTTCGCCACAGTACTTTGAAGAAAATCAATGCTACTACAAATAAATTGAAGTAATCACTGAATATCCAAGAAATGTTTGTAATTACCTCTGCGGCCGGAAGTTCGGAGGCAGATCTTTACAGCGAACGTCAAGAGGTTTACTAGGCCGTGATTCCTCTTCGGAATCACTTTCTTCCGTCATACAATAACGTGCTAAAAAATGGGTGATCTGAGAAGGTTCAAGAAGTTGGGATAAACAATAATGATCAACATGCAGCGGAGAAATTTCGGAGTCACCGCAAGTCACTGTGTGTCGAACTGAATAATCACTACGATTTTGATTATACTGCGTGTGTCGCTTTCCGCCCTAACGACCCACACGCAATCGCTGCATTTGGCAAATACGTGGTTCATCTCAATAGATGCTGATTAATCTACAATGCTGGAAGAACATCCCTTCATTTTCAGTGTTCCATTCCAGGAAAAAAGACGAAATAACTAGCACCAAAAAGCAAATGGGAGGGATAATTTTGGGCAAATAAAGAAGGTAAAGGCTCGAAACAAAACCATACCAGAACCATAAGCGGTTATGAAAATAAATATGCTTCGTGGTTTTGAACCCTTTCGGTGCTCTTCATCAGGATGTCCCCTCTCCCAACTATACCCGGCCTAAAATTCAAAATTCAATACAATCAGAATCAATGAGCCGGTAGCTTCAGTAACGATCGGCGAATGTCAGTTGACAACAAAACCCAAAATTAGGCCGCTCCTATGAACAGAACTAAAAAGGAAAGACATCAAGCAACCCCTACAGATGGAGTACCAGTAAAAACTGATCTGGGTCTCATCCAGTAAGGCGTGGGGCATGTGGTGCGACAGTTCTTGTCGGCTACAGAAATTCCAATTTTCGCAAGAGGAGAAACGGGTGCGTGAACCATTTCGCTTAAGCTTTGCCCCACCCAGGAGCCCCCTCAACTAAAAAAAGGTGGATTTCTTCATGCAATATGTACTGTCGCACCACATGCCCCCTTACTGGATGAGACCCTGATTTCTCAGTAGATGAAGTCATCAAAGGCCTGAAAGCGCATCATTTCCGCAAGAACCCTCTAACTGGAATAGACCCTACATTGATCTCACACATTCAAAATTTTTGCCATACTGTGATCCGATCACCCACTCTGAAGTCTCCCCTTACGAGACATAGTCTTAAGGCTACACCTTTCATAGGGATTTGAAGCCGAGCCGGGCCCCGATACCTAACCGTCTGTCCTTTAGCCATTCGTGGCAGTTCGAGCTAAAGAAAGTTCGAGTAACCCGTAGACCCTTTTGAGCTGAAGCTTCAACACGCCACACACTACACCTAATGCTAAGAGCTAGTGAACGGAAGCTAAGGCTGTTTCATTGAAGTAAAATGAGGGTCTATTCCAGTTAGGGGGGCATCATGGTGCGGTGACTCCCAAAAAGCTACGGTAACTCTGAGCCAGGGTGAGAAGCTGGAATGTTCGAGTTTACATTAGCTCGCCGAGAAACTGCATCATGATGCCCCCCTAACTGGAATAGACCCGAAAATGATTCCAAAAGCACAGTACTAACAAGGCGAATCAACCAAAATGGTGTTCGGGTGTGCTTCGCTACGAGCGCGCCTTTCTCACCTTTTGCAGCGTGACTTTTTTCGTTGAGGGAACCCCAGCCCAGTGCTAGGACGGGAGCAGCAAGCCCCAACGACGGGATGGGGACCCATCCCCTCACCCACGAGGGAATGAACATATTTGTTGGGCTTGCTGCACCCGGCCTCTGGGGTTCCCACAGCGAAAAAGTCCCGCGCTGCGAAAAGCGGAAGCCGCTTTCTGTTTTGACTCACCACCACAGCGTTCTACTTTACAGTAGTGAAAAATATGCCATGAAAAAGTGTCAATGCAATCAAACGCTCACCCTGGCGTTCGGCGAAGTAGTCCCATTCCTCGGCGGCCTCTTCCTGAAAAGACAAATTCTCTCACCCGTGTGTGCGTAACTGTCCCTTGACGTAACTTAAATCCAGCCCTATTTAATACGAGTTATAAAGCCCAGCTTCGAGATAAGATGTTTACCTCATTGAAGGCGTAGCCACTGCAATGGGCTTCATCACTCGAGTCGCTGTCAAAGTCGAACTCAAATCTGCCTGAACATAAAGATTCAGCTTGGTATCCTTCAGAACTGTGCTATAGAGCGCATGCATAGTCGGTCTCCCGATCGTAACGATCGCATAGCGTTAGATACGTATCGATCGTCCGATGTGTCCGCGGATTGGACGATCGATCACAATCAATTCTGTGTGATCGTTACGATCGCTACGATCGTACGACCGACTATGGATGCACCCACAGAGATGGTATTACAGTGCCCTGATCACGAATATAGTACCTGTTTTGGACGCACTCAGGACGCCGAATAACCCTGTCTCGTAAGTTTTCACCGGAGTCAATGGAAACAGTGCTGGCGCCAAGTGGTGCAAACGTCAAAAACGAATGTGATATATTCGTGAACGAGGCACTGAACAACCCTACAGACAAAGGTTTGGAAGGGGAAGATTTCTTCCAGTA